TGAATGGCTTATGAATAGCTTACCCCAATGTAGTGGCCTTGGCAATGCTCATATAAGGTTGCACAGTAAGGATGGCTTGGCTATTATCATGTCTTAGGCTGTGTTCACATATACTGCAGTGACTTGCATTTTACTGCATTGAATGAACACAGGTCACTGCTAGGACACACAGAAAACAATTGTGTTCTGTGTGTCCTGTTCAGACTGCAACACAGCCCATTGGTACAGTGCAGTGAGCTGTGCTGCATTTGATCGCATTTTTTGTTCTGGGGGGGGGTCAGTAGCAGGTACCAGGTAAAAAATGTTTTAATAAAATAAAATATGACAGTCATTCTTTATTCATGTCACAACACAGCAGCACAAAGCACTCTGTTGCTGTGCTGTGATATGAAAGAAGAATAACTTTGTCATATTTTATTTTATTAAAACATTTTTTACCTGGTACCTGCCACTGAACTGAACCCTGCAGAACAAAAAATTATCTATGGCCCTGTATAGGACAGGTACGGAGAGAAATAAAAGTCACTCTTTCCCCTATAAAGAAGTCTAATATTGTAGTCTCTTAAACAACCTTTTAGCCCTGGTTCACATATATGCGGCCGTGCAGGCCACGTTTTGCGCGGGCATGATAGCCCATTCATTTGAATGGACTTCTGTGCCCCGTGACACACAGGGAAGAGGTCCCTGCACTTCTTCTGAAAACGCAGCCCGCACGGGATCCTCGGTTCCCAGTACGGTTGCGTTTTCCAGTGCGGGCGGCGTGCCATTAGTTTTAATGGCACGCCACCCGCAGGTCCACATTCTTCTGTGCGGGTGGTGCGGCTACACAGATTCTTGTGCGGAACTGCAGCGGCACCACCTGCACAGATGTGAACAAAGCCTTAGAGACAAGAGAGGGAGAGACACTAGGCAGCTTGATGGTATAGTCTCTAGGGGATTAATCTGCTCCAGTGGGACTTGTCTGCAGAAATATACACACAGAACAGTTCTGGTCCAGAACAAATCACAGCAATCTTCCCCAGACTGTCCACAGAGATTATTATTATTATACAGGATTTATATAGCGCCAACAGTTGGCGCAGCACTGTAGACATTATACCTGCTTTACTTCGGTTAGCTCGAAAAAGTCACCCTAAGAGGCAGAAGCAGCATGGTCTGGAGAGGTCGGTGGATTTTCGCAAGTGATCATAATTGTCTGATGACATGACTTAGGGAAGTTTAGCAGGTGAATTACAAAAATCAGGGTTAAACAAGGAACTGCCCCATATATTTGTCAAATACTGAGTAATGCAAGGCCTCCGCAAGTAAATGTAATACAAGCTTTTACATTGCTAATCAAGGCAGACATGTTACAACAGATGACACACTTGCTCTGCTGACCTCATGTGATTTCCTAATGCTCGAGAGGCTTAAGGCTGCAAAAACTTCCAGCGAGGCAGCAAACCACTAGGGGACTCCTGATTACTGCTGTTGAATTAATTTCCAGGAAATTGTAGTCTCCTAAAAGTACATTATGATTAGAGGAAAAAAAAATAATAATTCCCTGCCTGCAAACCAGGCTGCTGTCATAGCGTTCACAAAGGATGGGGAACGGCGGCGAATAATCAAAAGAAAGCCAAATAAATGCTGAAGTAATAATACATCTTAAGGTCCTTGTGATGAGGCCGGTCTGCTTTTTATTTCATTTCCATCTGCTCCCGTATTAGAAATCAAGCATTGTACTTAGCACATTATTCTGAAGCACTGGCAATTTGTTCCGAAAAATACTATTCGGCTCTAGAAACATCTCCGATTGCTGTGGCAGAAGCACACTGTTGTGGTGAGATTTTTTTTTCAAGTAATATACTGTATATATTACATGTTCTGTGCAATGCCTTGAAAGTTAAAGTGGATATAAACCTGAATATTGAACTTTTTTCATTTGCTTCCTTGTCTGTTAAATATACTATTATAAGTTTTTTTTTTATATCAGTTTGATAATTAGGAAAAAATACCTAATTGATCCTACCAGAACTCAAGTGAGTGCCTCACTTCCTTTGCAATCCATAGTGTTTTCTCAAGCAGTATTACCAGAGCTGCTCAGTTCTCCCCTGTGAACTACAGCACGCCTTCCCTATGTTAAGTGTGATACATACTCATTTTCCCCTTTATCCATTTAAATACCTTGCAATTACAGAAGGATATTTGGATCCCTAGGTTCTGTCCTGGGCTCAAAGCAAACATTATTTTGTGGTGGAGTGGTGTCAGCCCTGCCTGAAGGCAGGTGAAGTCTGGTTTCTCCACTGTAGATGGTGCTCAAACCTGAGTGGTGCCACAGCCTTGAGAGGAAGTTGAGGGAAACACTGTTTCTCTATGGTTTCCTGGGTTAGTGGAGCAGTGTTCATGTTGGCTATGCTGCAGCCATATGACCCTTGGTGGCCTTTTTGGGTTAGCAGGGTCTATATAGGTTCCTGTCCCCAGGTTTTGGCACTCTTTTTTACGAGTGGCTAGGATAGGGAGAGAGACCCCACTTGCTAGTGAAAGTACTTAGCGGCAGCGAACGTTTTCAGAAAAGAAGGGACAGGTTAGGGACTTGCTATCCTGTAAGGAAACCTCTCTACTTGGGACCAGACCTGCCAGGCCTTGCTGCTACCTCTAAGACAGATGCTGTCGGCATCTCTCCTTAGCTACTTTGTGAACTACACTGAACTGTGAGTGTTTCCCTAAGTGGTTCTCTCCCACCAGAGTGTTTGGAACTTTGACATTGTGCTCAATACACGTTTCAAGTTTACTGCAACTGGACTTCTGTGATTACTGCCGCCGCACCACGATATTTCTCCCGAACTTATAGGCAAATTTCATTAAAGTCTATGGGGGGCATTTCTTGTTTTCTTCTGGTCATTTTTAGAACTAATAGGCAAGCTGTTGTAAAAAAAGGTTATTAGCACAGCATGGGGAGGGTCTTTGTATTTGTCCAACATATAAAATACACATATCCTTTAAAGTGATTCTAAAGGCTTTAATTAAAAAACAAAAAAAAAAACAAAAAAACCCAAATACACTTTCCTGCTGTGTGCAAAGGTTTTGCACAGAACAGCCCAGATCTTCCTCTTCTCAGGTCCCCTGCTGGTGCTCCTGGCCCCTCCCTCCTGTCGTTTGCCCCCACAGCAAGCAGCTTGCTAAGGGGGCACCCGAGCATGCGCACTCCCCAGGTGCTGCTCCATCTGTCCATTCACACATGGAGCTGTGGATCGGTGCTGCCCCCCTCTCTCTTCTCATTGGCTCACTGGCTGTGATTGAAAGCATGTTGAGAGTTTCCAGTAAAGCTTTTAAAACTTTGTCCTTATCTGGTCTTAAGTTACTAAAGAAGTGTTTGGAAGTAGCCAACACATTCTGTACTTGGTCTACAACATGGGTCAGTAAAGCACATTGGGGTATGAAGACAGCAAGTGGTTACCAAGAGCAATGGAGGTTTACCGAACAGCCCGTCATGAAGCGTGAGCCTGTGACAGGTAAGAGTTGTTGTCGGTACTCTCTCTGTGAGTGGTCTGTCTCTCATAGCAGCAAGGGAGCAGATCAGCGCCAGAGGTCCTCCGACTGTGCACAGATACGAAAGTTAATACAGAGCACGTGTGGATTCCATGCTAAGTGCTTGGTGGGAAGGTCTACACTGACACGGGGACGAGAGAGAGAAATGAAGTACAGTTTATTGTTCAAGTGTACACAGTGCATAGCCATCTCTAAAGTTAGAGAGGTCTGACTTAAGGTTGAGTATTCCCTGAAAGTGGCTATAGCCTTGTCCTGGGGAATTGATGGTTTCGGAACAAGTAAAGGTACCCCATGTGTACCCCAATGTGCCTAGAGAAGCCCAGAAGAACTCCAGGGGGTGGCCCTCCAGGTGTAAGCATGACAAAATGGTGTCCAGTTACAGCTATGGGAAGGCCTGTCCACCAGGAAACTCCCTCCTTGTGTTACATCCTACCCACTCAACAAGCAGAAATGGCCATTAACGTATTCATAAGAAAGTTAATCCTGCACCTCCCAGTGGAAGATTCCCTTGGCAAAACAGTTAACCATTTAGAAGCAGTGTATAGCTAAGCAGTAACGTAAAAGGACCTTAGAGCCCACTTCTTTGGCAGAAAGTAGAAGAATTCATTTTACAGTACTCACTGGAACTGCAAGATATAGCAGCAGAAATACACTACATGAAAAGAGGCTGAGTAGGATGGCCCAACTTGGGTGATGCAGACAGATGGCTGACATAGCAATTTGTAGATTGACTGCTGTCTGTCAATGTCAAAGAAACCTTGCAAGAGAGGGATAGAAGTTTCATGAACTGTTAAAGGTGGCCATAGACATACAGGCTTGGATGCACCCATGGCCGTTGTAGGTGGGAAAACAATAGACCCACCTGCAACTGAGTAGATTGCTCTATTGCAGGTGGCTATCAGGAAATTGACAGAATGGATGGCTCAGTTCTACGCAGAGTTAGGCATTTTGAAGTGCAGACAGGTATACTCTTCAAACGGGCGAGGAGAGTATGCATCTTCATGGAGAAGGTGAACACTATGGAGAAGGTAGGCAAGGTCACTACCCGCATGTTAGGGTTGTTGAGTTGGGCCATGTCCAGAGAGACTGCTTCAACCATACACAAAGGAAGCCACTAAACTAGACTCTATTCCAGTCTAGTGGTACAGAACTCTATTCTAAATTACTTTGGCATAGTGATTATACTGTCTAGCAGACTGTGTCTGAACCTACCTTCTGTATGTGAGTTTATGCTCAAACCTCCATTTACTCTAACCTGTACTAATACATTGAGTTAATTTATCATGAAATGGTCTTGTGTCCATTTTCTGGTACTAACTCACTGTCCAATTAATGGTATCTGCACTGGTGTTCTTATACGTGCTTGCAGCAGTTTTCATTCAACCAGGTGTGCCAGAGGGGCTGCTGTCATTCACAGAGTTGAGGCAAAAAACAGAGAACCCAACCTACCAAGCTGCTTGTTTGGGAGTAGCTCTACACTTCCATGAAGGTCCTTGCTCAGGTACTTTATTTTAGAAGGTGCCAATCTCCTAATTGTCCCTATCCTAATAGTGCTCCTGTGTTGTCACCAGGGGCGGACTGACCATTTGGGAACTCGGGCACTGCCCAAGGGCCTGGGGTCGGTAGGGGGCCTCATGAGATGCCCCTGGTACCTTTCATAGGCTTTTTTGGGTGTTGTTTGAATTTGGGTGAGGACACAGGGGCCCCATGATCCCCTATTGCTCGGGGGGCCCATGAGTTGTCAGTCCACCCCTGATTGTCATCATGTCATACAGCTGTTTCAACACATGGCATGATCCACTGTTGTCACCATCACTTCCACTCATAATTTATACCCCCAACATGTTTATTAGATCACTGCCCTAAGACCACAGTAAATATAATGACCACTGCTGACCTGAAGTCTATGTTGTCTGGGAATTCATTGTAAGCGGGACATCATAGGCAATGAATACGGAAAGCTTTATCCTAGACATGCATAACAAAACTTTGGGATACACTTGTGTGTTTTCATTCGCTTAAGGTTATGTTGGGTGAACTGATTACATTTGAACCCCTGTACCACTTTGTGCTTCAAAGCATGTGGCTAAGGCTGCTAACAAAGCTGGTCTGTAATTTCAAAGGCTAAGAGTTAGACCTTTCGATAGATGAGAATACTGGAAACTATATGGATTTACGCGGAACAATGGAGGATCGTAGTTTACAAAGAAACATTTCCCATAATTCCATCCACAACAGATGATTGACAACAGACTTGCTTTGCATCTTTGATTGAGGTAACCAGAAGCATGATCATGCGGACACTAGATACACTTTGATCCATCCTAAAGCGCTGATCCAGAACAATTGGCTGGCTCGATACTGCAAGGTCACCTCTAATTGTTCCCCTCCAGCCCTTTCCTTCTGTCTCATAGGGACACACACACAGAGGAATCACCTATTACTGTCTGTGTCAAGAATGGCTTCATTGGCGCTAATTACTTTGGCTCACTAACCTAATTAGCACCAAACCGCTCTCACAACCTTGCAGCTGATCAATTGACATGACAGTTTAAGATATTGCATGGACTGATCAATATGAGTTTATGGTTAACGTATTAGCGGAAAGGATCGCTCTAATAAGACTGAAGTTCATGGACAAGAGCTACTTAAATTGAAGCACTAACGATAATTAAATGATAGCGGATGAAATTAAATTGCCCGTTAGACTTTTAACCCTTAGTTTAACCTGCATTTTAATTTGAGCCGTATAATCAAATACTTTGGTGTATATGTTAAAGGGGAACTATAGTCTTTTCAGTTTTTTTTTTGCTTTTTAAGCTTGCATGTGAGACAGGTCAGCTTAAAACGGAACTTCAAGTAGATATAATAGACATAAAATAATGCAGCTCTATAATGATGAATATATTGATAGATTAATTTTTTTAAGTGTAAGTATCAGAATTTGACTTGTCATTGACATCTTGATGTTCAGCAGAGCTCAGACTGAAAGAGGGAGACACAACGTAAGGAGGCAATCAGTTTACTGAAATGCTCATGTGCTGACAAGGAGCATGCAGATAGGAGGAGAGAGCAGATTAATAGAGAGCTTTACAGTCTGCTGCTTTTCCAACAAGTGTCTGGTCACAGGCAGCAGGAGGGTCCTGCTAATGTCAGTAAACTGATGAAAAAAAACAGGTCTCCTGCCCTGCCAGACAGAGCTGTGTTGTGTGTCAGAGCTGTGTAAATCTCAGGACTGGATACACATAAATACAAATCCTTTGACAGGTTAAACAGCAATATAGAAGGAGAGCATACTATGCTCCCAAATTACAGTTTTGGCAGCAGCTGGTCTCTTGGTTTGCAATTTTGAACATTGTATGTACTCTGGGAGTCTGCTATTATCTACTATTTGGTGGTTACATTAGCCTCTGTTCTGTGTGAAAGTATAACTGAACCCAAAGGCAAAAATGTAATGTATTTCAGCTTACCAGTCCTTAGATGTGGTGGCTGCACTTGTTTTTTACAGGCTATGAACATTTTCAGCAAATACAGAAAATATCTGTTAATCTTGACAAAAATAAGGTGTCCTTGCAACATGTAAATTTAACAGAAAACACAAACAACTTTATTTGTAAACTACTAATTCCATCAACCCTCATGTAATAAAGATAATCAAGGTACTGCCAGGGTGGCAACCGTGGCTCATTTCATAGATATAATGGAAGGGTGAATGGAGCCACTCTAGGATAGGAATTATGTTATCCTGAAACCTATCCCCCTGTGTGTCTGCAGCACCCAGAGAGAGAGGAATGAAGCTGGTAGTGCTGCAGAGAAAGGGGCACACATGGGGGGGGAGGGGTGTAGCTGGCCAGCTAAGACCAGTCCTAGGTTGTTAATATGGTTCACATATATGTGTATACCAAACCTGCCAATAACCTCAGTACATATATACAGTGGGGATTGAAAGTTTGGGCACCCCAGCTAAAAACTTGTATTATTGTGCAGACAGAAGCCAAGGAAAGATGGAAAAATCTCCAAAAGGCATCAAATTACAGATTAGACATTCTTATAATATGTCAACAAAAGTTAGATTTTATTTCCATCATTTACACTTTCAAAATAACAGAAAACAAAAAAATGGTGTCTGCAAACGTTTGGGCACCCTGCAGAGTTAATATCTTGTACTGCCCCTTTGGCAAGTATCACAGCTTGTAAACACTTTTTGTAGCCAGCCAAGAGTCTTTCAATTCTTGTTTGAGGTATCTTTGCCCATTCTTCCTTACAAAAGTCTTCCAGTTCTTTGAGGTTTCTGGGCTGTCTGTCACGCACTGCTCTTTTAAGGTCTATCCATAGATTTTCAATTATGTTGAGGTCAGGAGATTGTGAAGGCCATGGCAAAACCTTCAGTTTACGCCTCTTGATGTAATCCCCCGTGGATTTCGAGGTGTGTTTAGGATCATTATCCATTTGTAGAAGCCATCCTCTCTTTAACTTCAGCTTTCACAGATGGCATCAAGTTACCATCCAAAATTTGCTGAAATTTTATTGAATCCATTTTTCCTTCTACTCGTGAGATGTTCCCTGTGCCACTGGCTGCAACACAACCCCAAAGCATGATTGATCCAACCCCATGCTTAACAGTTGGACAGAGGTTCTTTTCATTAAATTCTGTGCCCCTTCCTCTCCAAACGTACCTTTGCTCATTCCGGCCAAAAAGTTAAATTTTAACCTCATCGGTCCACAGAACTTGTTTCCAAAATGCATCTGGCTTGTCTATATGTTCATTTGCAAAGTTCAAACGATGATTTTTGTGGTGAGGACATAGAAGAGGTTTTCTTCTGATGACTCTTCCATGAAGACCATATTTGTACAAGTAACTCTTTATAGTGGAATAGTGTACCACAATTCCAGTGTCTGCCAGATCTTTCTGGAGGGATCGTGCCGTCAAACGTGGGTTTTGAATTGTTTTTCTCACAATCCTGCGAGCTGTTCTATCTGATATTTTTCTTGGTCTTCCAGATCTTGCTTTAACTTTCACTGTTCCTGATGACTGCCATTTCTTAATTACATTCTGAACAGAGGATATTGACATCTGAAAACGCTTTGCTATCTTCTTATAGCCTTCTCCAGCTTTGTGAGCATCAACTATTTTCAGTTTCAGTTTTCTAGACAACTGCTTAGAAGAACACATGGTGCTGATTGTTGGGGCAAGGTCAGATGAGTCTGGGCATTTAAAACCTTTGAGATTGACATAACCTGGTCTTCACAGACGATGATTGAGAACAATCCATGACACTGGCAGGTCTCAGCTTGGCAAAGGGGGCAGTGCATGCTATAAATTCTTCAGGGTGCCCAAACTTTTGCAGACGCCATTTTTTGTTTTCTGTTATTTTGAAAGTGTAAATGATGGAAATAAAATCTAACTTTTGTTGACATATTATAAGAATGTCTAATCTGTAATTTGATGCCTTTTGGAGATTTTTCCATCTTTCCTTGGCTTCTTTCTGCACATTAATACAAATTTTTAGCTGGGGTGCCCAAACTTTCGATCCCCACTGTATGTGCATATGTTAAAGCCAAAAGCAGAATCATTGCTGTGATTTATGTCTTTGATTGTTATATGACATTTTTATATTAATTGTGTTAGCAGAAGCAGAAAAGGAAAATATGCCTTTAAGAGTTAGTATAAGGTGAGCCAATCACAGACAGCCTCACACTGTACAGAGCCTTAACCAATCCCAGCCAGTTTCACATTTGTGCCTGTGTAAAACTCCCTGCTAGGATTTTCTAGAGACACATGCTCACCAGACAGAGGAGGAAACAGGCAAAGTTCCAATCAGAGAAGCTCCATGGAGGCAGAGAAGGCCAAATAGGTATTTAATGCACTTGTGTGTTCCTCTGTTGTTTTAACAGTGCAGGTAGATCTGTGTCTAAAAACTGTTGTATGTGTTTACTTGTAGTTCCACTGAACTTAAGAATCAAGTCACTGTAGAGTAATCTAACGAATTTATAAATCTAAATGAATTTATCAATCTATCGAAATATACAGAACGAATTTATCAAATCTATTGAACCTATCGAGATAAGCTATCAAATCAACCCAATGTAATACAAATTAAACCATTGTAATATGAAAGAAATAAGCCATTGTAAGCAGTGTTATATGAAGAAGATTGAAGTTATTAAAGAAGTTAACTAAAGTATTCGGTGGGCTCTTTAAACCTACTGCATCCATAGAGCGGCATTGGAGGAATTACAGAGTAAAGTCAGTCTAATCAAACAAAGAAACAGCAGTTGCATAATTTTTCTAATGCCACAGCGCACTAGGCACCAAAGGGTGCTGTGCCTGCCACAAGGGGTAAGGCAGCAGGGGGAATCTGCACTGCGGGGGGAGATTATGGTGTGCCCAGGCACACCCGACACACCCCTTGCGCATGCCTATGGTGCAGAGTATTGTCACCCCATCATTCTAAATGCCCAAGACCTCATCAGTAGTATCACCAGCTGTTATTTTCATGAAAGGTAGCAATTAAAATAAAAATGGGAATGAAAAGAGTTTTTTTAATTAGTGCTAGGGCAAATTCTCCTGCCCGGATACACAAATCTTTAAGCCAAAAATCTTTTAAAGGACCAATAACTGTTTACAGGAACTGATTGGTACCTAACTCTT